TCAATTGCCGTAGCATTCCGAATTGTAAATGTTTTTGTACTATGACGATCCTTAATATCGAAATCAACGTATTGAATGTTCGCCATTTTGCTTAAACCACCGACGCAATCCAGGCGAACTTGCGTCTCAGGTCCCGTAATACCTCATCATCAGCCCTTTTATGTCCCCACTGCAGGGGCTCAGGCCTTTCTTATGGATGGTTAAGGAGGATGGGCCATGACCCTCCACGCTAGCCCAATGCGGATTGGAGGGTATTAACGACTGCAAATGCAGCCGGAATAACGGCTTAACGTGCCTTCCGAAGCACGGAGTAGCTCGAGATAATAATTTTTTGGTCACCCATCCCGTGACCGACCCCTGCGAAAGTTGCTTAACAACAACGATCGCGGGCCGCGGCGGTAATTAACCACTACGCCACCGAGCTACTCGCCGTGATACCTATTTGTCTATATATGCCAGAGTCGATAAATGTAGCTGTCGAACCATCATCCAAAAGGGCATAGGTATCTATGGCACACAATGGTCCATAAACTGTGACAGCTACGATTTTTAAGTACGGTTAATAATTACCTGGCATTCTATCAGCAATTGTGTGAGCTACTAAATCGGAACCTGTCTGCTGAGAGTCATGTGATTGGTTCAATAAGTTCAAGGCATCACCACCAACAATGGACTCGGCATTTTCTTCTAAATTCGCGTTAGCAACTTAATAATCCGCGTTGTGCAACAGTTTGTGATGTCTTAACTTACAATTAGAAACATTACAAATCTCTTTGGAAGATTTGCAATATTTATAATAGTGCGAACCTTTTTAAAGACACTTATGGCAGACTTTTTTTGCTTTGACAAAATTCCACCTATCAACAACTGACAATGTCAAAAATTTGTCACGTTTATTTAATGAATGTTTATGTTTACATAAAAGACACGGTTTATTTTCAGATATTGTTGGTAACTCGTTTTTATTTTGAGTGATCTGTTGTATGAAAGTTTTGGACGAATTCAAATAAGGGGAGAACACTGTCATCGTGACAGTGAAGACACGCTTGAAGGCCAGCCACTCCAAAGGCTTGCCGTCGAAGGACGGAAGGCGGCCATCGCCAATCTTCGGTCGTGACGACGCACCATTTGCAAGCGAAGTGATAGCCTGTGCAGTTTTGAATTGAAGAGCGCGACCGAGAGCTTCTGCTCCTTCCACCTTCTGCTTCCAAAGCTACGATCTGCTCCTCAAGTTCTAGGTCCGCGGCTCTTCATTCGGCGTCGGCTGTGGCTTGGGCTGCCGGTGCTGCGGCCTCGGCTGCTGCGACTTTTCGGAGATGTGCCGCTTGTAGGGTAAGCTTTTGAGCACGAATAGTTGCCGAAGACCGAGACGACCTGGAACTTTTGGAGCCATGAGATCGAGCAATGCTTGCTGGAGAATCTGTGGATGTGTTAACCACTGGATCACTCATGTTGTCAGTATTCTTCTGGTCTTCCCTAACCTTCCTTTGATTCCGCGTTTCCACCATAAATCAAAAATTTTGAAAATGGATTTAAATGATAAATTTATTAGGACGTTCACTGAAAAATGGGAGAAGGACCACTATGTTAACGAAAGCTCTAGATAAAGGATTTATGATGAAAAACTGGGATTTAGGGAGCCAAAATAAGAAAACCAGGATAGGGCTGAGTGACAACTATAATTTTTTGATATGGAAAACAAAAATACGTACAAAATCAATAAAAAAGTAAAAAAGGCTTCAAAAAAGGATGGTTGACGGATTAAAGGTTGGTAACAGCATTATTTAAACGATCTTTCTAAATTACAATAAAAACTGGTACATGGGTACTTCTTGAAAAAGCAATTTTTGAGTGTCACAGGGTCATATCTCCTATAAAAATAAATTATAATGATAAAAACTACTATTACATCGTTTCTTCATTTCATTAAGCATCGTGTCATATAGATTTCACGGATAAAAAACGACGTAGATCGGAGTAACTTACCCTCAACACCTCAAATCCGGTCAATTTTGCACGTTTTTACCGTGTCACACGCGCGCCGACTTTTGAGCAATCGCAAATATTTTTTAAATTACCCACGTTTTTAATCAGTTTGTTACACACATTTAAAAAAAGACAAATCGCTTTACATATTGATCAAATTTCAAATTAATCGGAAGGAAACTTTTGATTTTATGGTCAGAAGTATACGTGTCACACGCTTAGCAAAATTTTTGCGGCGCGCCTTGCGCGAGATACTGCTCTGAGCTGGAGAGGCGTAGACGAACCCCGATTGGTGTTTACGAATCGTCATTTACGCCGCAGCTAGCAGGTGAGGTGGCCACGTCGCTGTTACCCGCGCTTTCGTTGCGAGAATAAGTTCTTCAATCTCTTAAATTTTGGTTCTCAGTTATCCGGCTTTGCCATGTCACATTTTTTCAACATAATTGTACTTCTTCTAGAAAATGGGTTTTAAGGTGAAATACCTAGCTCTATAATGTAGATAAACAGTAAAAAACTAGCCGGTTATATCTTTTCAATGCAGAGTAATTTCAAAATATATGTTTTTTAGTAATTTCCATGGTGTAATTTCCATGGATAAAACATCATGGAAATTACGTATCGCCCATGGAAATTACCTTGTTTCTTTTTGGTTGCAAAAAAACAAACGTTATGTTAAATGTTTGTTTTCAATGAAATGCACGCCATCGCCAAATACAGACTTAAATGTTGAATGTTGGTTATTTTTTTAAATTAAATCGTCTTAAATATCACCGGATTAAGTTAACATATTATATAATTTATTTATTTATTGTAAAAATTTACTTTGATTAAACACTAAATTGGTACCTGTAGGGCCAATGGTTTTCTCAAAAACGATAGATAGCCAAGGGGGTTATCTTGACTGAAATAACCTCCTAATATCTACTTATGACCGGTGTTCGCTATCTATCGTTTTTGAGAAAACCACTGGCCCTATCGGTACCAAATCGGTGTTAAATGAAAGCCAATTAAATTTACAATAAATTAATTATTGATATTTGACGTAGAATGCGTATTTTATAAGATAATTGACAAAATAAATAACCATTTCGAAAAAGGGTTCTCTATGTCACTTCGAAACACGTTTCTTCGATAATTGATACATCGACAACTATACAAGTACGTCGAAGCCTTCATTGTTCGAAGTTTCAATGCATCGCATATCTTACTTCGACGCCCGACTTTTGTTTGTCCGATGTAACGTTACTTCGAAAAATTTGCCAGATGCTGAAATTTCAATGTTGGTCTCATAGTGAAAGTTGTTCAGTTTTATGGGCTGAGCTACCACCTGAGAGGTTTTGCGCTATTTCCATAACACGTTGTATATATTTTGTTTTTTGAGAACATGAACGTGTTTACGTTTCGTTCCAATTTTGAGTAAGTACTATCGTATATCGTTTCAGTATAATGTAGGTAGATCTTAATACTACCCTAACTAAAATGACAGCTTAATTTCATATATGGCATGGTGTTTAGCAAAATTTTATCTGCTGTGTAATTTCCATTGCCTTTATTGTAATTTCCATGGTCCGCCAATTTTCTACATTTTTTTTAGCAAAAGTATAGATCTCAGTCGTGGCCAATTTTAATATGTTGTTTAAATTTGCAGAAGTTTTCGAAATATTTATATAATTCACCATAATTTTGCGATTTCAAAAATACATAATTTAATAGGGTTCTTTATTTGAATTAAGAAAAATAGTAACCTCATATTTAATAAAATAAATAATTGAAAAGAATATTTATTGGGTCGTGCAACCTTTTATTATATCAAAATTTATTCAGTTTGCCTAATAATGTCCTTGTCCTCGTAGAGATCGAATCATTTGAGCTTCCTGGTAACTATCATTATCTTACAAGGTAAATAAAACATTTTTTTATATGTCAATGTTACACTTTTATTACAAACGTGATCGACGGGGTCACGTTAATCTAATATTCCTTGCCTCGACGATTTAGGCACTGGGTTTTACCACTGGAGTGCTAAAATTTTACTGAAATAGGTTTCAACTACATTTTTTTACCCTTAATGATCAGTCTGTATCAGCCTGTGCAGGTGCAGGACAGTAATATATGTTTGATTTTAAGTGATCTTACTCTTGGTATCGGCTGTTACCGTTATCTCTATGGTGAGCTATGCTATAGAGATACATCAATGGGTTTTGGTGGGTCATCATCACCAGCCTATTAAGGTCTTGGGGCTATTACTTCTGTGGCTCAGGCCTGCACTATCGATGGAATCGAATTAAATCAAATAGGAAGAATGGGCTATGATCCGGGCCCAGTGTGGATTGGTGGGTGTTAACGACTGCGGATGCAGCCGGGACTCAAGCACAGAGGAGCTTTTTTTGTCGGAGTTTGTTTCGCCAGTTCTCAGACCAGACTCCCAAATTTAGAACTGGTGGTAGATTATAGTAGCTAAGGTTAAATAAATAAGTCAAATGTATTTTTAAAATATTTAATTTAAATTATTAAATGTCATAAGTTTTGAAGGTAGCCTATACTTTTAATTAAAAAGATAGTCAACACCTTAGTCTTATGTGAACACGGAACCTGTAGAGGGTTAGAAACGTCTAACTAAATACAAATGCGATGAAACCGCTTCAAAATTGTTTCATTTACTACATTTACTATAACGCCTGATTCCTGATGATGTTTAGAGGCAGTCGTATAACTTGATATACTGGAGTTGTAAACTAATCATAATTAAAATGTCCCAGTGAGCATCTACGTGCGTATTGCGTTAATTTTTTTATGTTTGTTTTGGTTCACCCATTATAACTGGTAATTAATGACTGTAGGTATATAAATATCTCTATTAGAGTGCTTGCATCTCTATTGATTCAAATGGACTATAATATTATGTTATTATTACACGTTGGAATATTCAACGAGTTGTTTTGTGTTTGTTACTTTGTTAGAATAATAATTTAGCGTGTTTCCTACAAAATAAATATTGTTACTCGATTTATTAATCAAAACATTATCGATAAAGGAGAACGGCTGTATTCGTTTATGTTTAATTTAAAAGTAAAATTATTATTTACTTGCTGTTTTTTCCGCTACACAGCCTATGTAATCCATGTTTGATGTAACTTCCCTTAAGGGAAATATTTTTTTCAAATCGGTTTAGTTGTTTCGGAGCTTCTCCGTGTTTCGGAGCCTATTAATGCTAACAAACAAAAAATCAAAAATATATTGACTGGCTTGTGTGTTATTTCTTCTACTTCTGTTGCCAATCTTGTACTCAGACCAGGAATCATCGACATTCCTCCACACAGAATAACTGCTTCGTATAGCTCTGACCGTAAGTCAGCATCGCACTTCATAGCAGCAGTGACTATAGCTTCTTGTAACGCTATAACATTAACGTTAGGTCCCATGATTACACGAGGTTGAAATATCATTTCAGCACCCATGAATGCTTCGTAACCAATATCAATTTTTTCAGCGCTGGGTAGTGTATATATTCTCTTATAATCATTCCGTGACATTGATATATCTTGAGTTATATACAAATAACGTTTCATGCCCTCTAAAATTTCTTGTATACGAATCCCAAAATCATGATAATTTTTCTCTGCTAAACTCTCTTTGAAAAAATTGGCAAATTGCGCACCAGCATAGTTAGTTTGCATATGAGCGTAACGAATAAGTCCACCTTCGTACACTGGGCATATATCGGCGGTGTTGTATCTTAAGTCCACTGATATTCCTGTAGAGTATCCAGAACCGTACAAGGAGAGCACAGTTTGAGATTGAATACATAAAGCCGGAATGTTTAAAGTTTCAAAAATTATTTCACAGCACTTCAATTTTTCGTCCATTGAAGAAACAGCGGAACAAGCTAACATCATAGAACGATCTTCCGGAGCCACCTTTATCTCTTTGTAAAATAAGTACCATGCGCAGATGCGCTCCATATTATCCCAATGGACAATCCTTCCATTTACTATTGGCTGGTTAAGATCTAATTCATCTATCTTTGCTACGGCTTCGTCACCTATATGTACATCATAATAATAAAACAATACATCGTAGAAGAAAACAAACTGAAAGAGATAGAAGATTACCAGAAAGATACAAAGATTATATAATGGAATATGGAATGGAAACGTCTATGTTAATGTACGAGGAGGCTCTAGAATCAAGAGAAAAAGATAAATGGAAAAAAGCAATAGAGGAAGAAATCAAGTCTTTGGAAGACAATACTACGTGGACATTCGTGGATAAAAAAGAAGCAGAAGGAAAAAAAATAGTAACAAGCAAATGGATCTTTACGGTGAAACCGGATGGTAGATACAAAGCAAGATTAGTCGCAAGAAGATTTCAACAGAAATATAAAATAGATTATGATGAAACATATAGTCCTGTTGTAAATACAAATTCTCTGAGACGTACGTTTGTCAATTGTTGCAAATAAAAAATAAAAAATAAAAAATGAAACAGTTTGACATTAAAACAGCCTTTTTAAATGGAGATTTAAAGGAATGCATTTATTTAAAAGTTCCAAAAGGTTTTAGCAATAAAGAAGATAAAGTATGCAAACTGAATAAGAGTTTATATGGGTTAAAACAAGCTCCATTAATGTGGAACATTAAATTTACAGAATTCTTAGTTAAAATGGGGTTTAAACAATTGAAGTTAGATCAGTGTATTTTTGTGATGGAAGGTAAAATAAGAATAATTCTTGCGATTTATGTTGATGACGGATTAGTGGTTTGGGAGAAAGAAGAAGATTTGATGCATATAGTGGAAACGTTGAGAAAATGATTTGATCTAAGAATCTGCGACGAAGTATCAAACTATATCGGGCTGGAAATAAAACAAGAAGAGAAAGGAGTGAAATTTTTTCAAGAAATGTATATCGCAAAATTTTTGAAGAGATTTAATTTAAATGAAGCTGGAGAATGCAAAACCCCAACAATCTTGATAGAACAACACCCTAAGGTGAAAGTAGACACAGAGAGTCATGAATTCTACAGGGAAATGATAGGATCATTGTTATGCCTGGCCAACAAAACGAGGCCGGACATTAGCTTCCATGTAGGTTTGTTGCTCGCGTCAACAAAGTGCTCCAAATTTAAATGATTTAAATAATGCAAAAACTATTTTAAATTTTTTAAAAGGTTCGATAAAGAAATGCTGTAGGCGATAAAGTGCTTCGTGGTTACTGTGATTCAGATTTCGCGGGGGATCCAGACACTAGACGTAGTACATCGGGTTATGTGATTTGGTTGAACGGTGGACCAGTGGCATGGAGTTCAAGAAAACAGCCGATTGTAGCTCTGTCGAGTACGGAAGCAGAATATAAATTTCCGTACTCGGCTATAAAGCCGCAGCAGAATGTTGCAAAGAACTTTTATTTATAAGGGATTTGATATTTGAAATGACCAATGAAAAATTAGAAATAGAAAGAAAGAAAGGTATTATGAATAAAAGAAGCAAACACATAGACGTCAGATACTACTATCTAAAAGATAAGATTGATAACAACAGAATAACGGTCAATTATTGTCCAACTGGTTCACAGATAGCAGATATACTTACAAAGTGTTTGCCACCAGTGAAGTTTGAGAGGTGTCAAAGAAAACTCGTATCAGAGTGATGTTAGGTAGTGTTAAGTATGGGCAAAAGTGAACTAAGTACGTTTTCGGTTAATATGTGGGGTATTAGTATATAAGTTTTATAGGGGTGTGTAATATTTGTAGAAGTGATATAAAGGCGTGATGTAAACTTAAGGTTCCTAGTCAGTTAAAGTATTAAGGGGGTGCGTATATTAAAAGGAGTTTTTATTGGTTGATAATGATTCATTTAAGGGGGTGAGAAAAAAAAGAAGTTTTGAAATAATTTTTAGAAAAATAAATGAATCATTATATAATGGCGATGGAAGAGTTAGAAACTAATTCTTAATAAAAATTATAAATATTTGGAGAGTATTGGCCTTAAGTTTTGTAATCATGTTTGTTTGTATTATATATCATGTTTGTTATTATTATTATTATTTTAAAAACTAATGTATTTTATAGAGTTAGTATAGAATATGAGTTTAAATTATGTTAGTAGAAATTATGTATTATCGCAATGAGGTAGTAGGGTAGGTAGTGTGTTTAATTTTTTTTTGTATTAAAAGAAGTTAGGAATAATTAAGTTTGATCGAGCGGGAGTTAATTGTTTGAGGTTTTTATGATAAGTTGGATCGAGTAGGAGTTGATTGTTTGAGGTTTTTTATGATAAGTTGGATCGAGTAGAAGTTAATTGTTTGAAGTTTTTTTATGATAAAGTAAGTCGAGTAGGAGATGAGTTAGCTAAATGATTTTTATATAGTTGAAGTTATGTGGTAAACAAAGTCGAGAAGAAGATAAGAAAGTTTGTTTTAAGATGTTAGGTTTGGAGACAGTTAGGGATTTATATGTGTGTAATGTAAAGGAGCATACAGAAGTTAATACAGGTTAGGTAAAATGGATCTGCGAGATAGGGAATAAGAAATATATATCTACGGTAGTTTTGGTAGTCATTCTAAATTAATGTTTGTAATGGCAGGTAGAAGTCTAAGTTGGGACAGTCAGCATGTGCAACAGATTGACGGGGTGTGTTGAGGGAGACAGACCTTCTTGGTTTAAGAACTTTTTAATTAATTTAAATTTAAATATTGACAATCTGTTCTGCTCATGCGCGTCTATTGTTTATATATTAAAAGTAACTCTTCGTAAAGCTATTGTCGGTGCTGCTTGTATTTTATAAAGTATATATTTTTGGTGATAAATAAACTCATGTGATCTAAAAGCTCCCTGGTCTTTCGCTATACCCTTTCTACCATCGGGTATCAATTTTCAGTTCAACACCAGCAGCTTTTATTCTCTCAACAGAATATCGAAGTCGATCAGAATTCAATGGTTTATTGCGCTGTTTTTCTATCTTTGCGTACTTGAGAAATTGTTTCTATCTCGTTTTCTGGTAGACCTAAAGATTTTGGGCAATGTATGATGATGGCAAGTTTTTCACTAGCTTCACTGGATTGTAGAGACAGAAAATTCTATCAATTTATATTCTTAGAAAATTGATAGAAGATATGTGTCCCTATATCGTTAAAATTCAAAATGGACGTCCATCCGGAAGTGAAGAAGTATGCGTGTCTTAACTACGTTATCCTCTTTGCTGAAATCTCCAACCACTCCTTCCTATCTTACCTGTACTTATGTACCTTTTTCACCAAAACTCTTTGTTCCTCCTCTAATTGTCTACTCTGCCCATCTCATTACTCCGAAATCGTTCACTCTTCGTTCTTCGTCAAAACTATTCCTTTGTGGGATGAACTTCCATCAGACACTAGAATGATCAATAGTAAATTAGCTTCTAAAAACAAGTTATTGAATAGCAAATCTTTCTGTTGGAACAAGTAAAATCATTAAATCATTAAGTATGTATTTTTATAGTAATTATGTATGTATATTTTTTATGTATGTTATGCATATTTCTTTACCTTTTGTGTCTGTATATTGTATATGTAAGTATAGTTACATAATCGCCTCTTCCTACAAAACCTCTTCCACCTCTATTGTGCACCCCGTCACGTCTAATTGTGTCCACAATTAGACGTGACGTTTTATCCGATGTTATAGTATAACCAGTATCTTTGAAAACCACATTATATGTTCCGGATCTTTGACTTTTGAACTCTTAGCAGAATATATTGATGAGGCACAATAATTTTTTGTTGTTGTGCATCAAATGTTTAAGTTTCCAAAATTAGCGTGTACATATAGCGAGGACTTAAAAGTGCAAATCAGAGCGGCATTTTACCAAGTGAAAAATGACACGGTAGTGCTCGCAAAATTAAAAGACAATGTGCAGAAAAGGTGCAAGACTCTGTTTGGAGAGGAACGGTATGTACTTTGAAGCAATTATTAAAGTATACGTAGGTAAATAGTTAAAGTAGGTAGGTAAATTGATTAGTTGATTATGTACATAAAGTTGATTAAATACGCCTGATTTCAAAAGAATAGCGAGTTAAGTACCTACTTTGAATTGGTTTAACTAAACAGAATTTTAGGTAACTCGATATTTACTTACCTACTTACTTTATAAATTTAAAGCAGTATAGCTATTGTAATAGTAGGTATCTAATAGGATTTAGGCAATTTGACGGTCCTAAGCCCGTAAAAGTATGAAGAGGTTTCAACATTTTTTTTTTTGCCATTTCCCCAAGCATGACAAAACGAAAACATTTTAGGTAGCTGCTATTATTACTATCAATGAATTGCGGCAAGGGAGGGAGGGGTAAGTGCAACGTAGTGCGTAAAGCGCACGTACTGGGCAGCGAGAGCGTCCACAAATGTAGGTTTTTTGACAAATAACTTGGTGACGATATAACTCAACATTTTTGTTCGAAACGACATAAAAAGAAAAAACCCGTATTTCATTATTTGTCGTAAAGATTAACATACTCAAATTTGGAGAGTGGTTTTAATTGTACTTACAGCGCAATACAACAATGATACCACTTATCTCTCAAACAAATTCTCGACACTAAATTATTATTCTGTTTCGAGATTCAGTACTTTTTAAGTTTAGGCTATAATTATGATTCTTACTTGTTATGAATATAAGCTGGCATAGTCTTGCTATCACATATCCCATAATCCTTAAGCACTTCGATGTATTAACTGTATGTTTGTAGCAGAAGGACTGTAGACTGGATTATCAAAACGGGCAGGTAGCAGGTAGCCTTTTTCCTCTAAGGCGTTGGCAATGTAGAATTTGTTTCTCTTTTATTTTTTTGCATTTTGATGGCCTTAACCATAAAAGTATTAAGGGAAAATTTAAATTACTCTTAGAAATCACCTCAGATCATGGCATAAAATCTAGTTCGAATCTAACAAAATGAGCGGTCAGAGACCCGTGTAGATAGGTACCTACGAGT